GGCCACAGAATGACAAGGAATCAATGAATGTATCAGAATGGAGGGAAATCTGAGATTATGTGATCTGTACAATCATTTTACTGAGTAATATCTTAAGTGAAACCTCAGTATGAGGTTTCTCAATTGGATTAAATGTTCATTATTAGGCAGAAATTAATCTTTGTTCATGGGACTGTTTTGCCACCTCCATTGAGTCCTGTGGTTCACTGGCACTCAGGATAAAACCCCATGACTTCTCCTTGTGTGTAAAGGAAGCTGAGGTCCTGTGTGCTAAGCCATTTTGTCCAAAGGTCACATAGCGAGATAATGACAGTGGTAGACCAGTAATCTGTACCATGTCCTTCATACTGTACCACAAAAGATATTTATTTAGTTGTTCCCTCATTAAGGGAAAATTTGACTGCATTCTTTCTTGGATCCCATTGTGTCAATTCATAACCATTGTATTTGTTCAGTATTAAAATGATAAATTTTAGAAGAAAACATAGATCTGAAAAAGTTTACAATTGAGAATATTTTCTCTCTCAAGATGTCTCATTTTAAGTTCTACCATAGACCCAGTTCATCACCTGTCAAAAAATGACACAGAATTCTAGCATTCTACCAAGATCTTCCATGCCATAAATCTGAAGCATGAGCAACTTAGGTTAGGTATGAAGATGAAGCACATCGCAATGACTGCAAGGACCAGAGCAGGAGTGAAGAAGAAAAGAGGAAAAGATGGCCACATCTCTTTGGATCGGTCAGCCCAAACCTCATGCCCTGTTTATTTGTTCTCGTTGTTCAATTCATTTCACCAAGCGTTTACAGAACACCTGTGCTGTGCTAGTACTGGGTTATCACGTCTTGAAGTCCACTTCCTTTTAGAGATACTATCTCATAATCTGTGAATTTAAGCTGGGAATAACCTTGGACCAGTTAATCAGTGTCTGAATTCTGTGAGTGAATGGAAGTGGGATTGTGTACTAGGAATGCTTCAGTACTGAAAGGCTTTCCTGAAGATGCTCTTTCCTTCCTCTCAAGGCACATATCACTGATACACAGCAAAACCCAATGTAGAGGGGTTCTCGACAGACAGTCCAATCAGAATCAAAGTTGAAAATTCAGCTGTTGGATAAACATTAACTGAGCACCTACTATGTGCTAGGCACTCTTCTATGTCTTGGGCATACAGTGGTATACAAGACAGACCAAGTTCCCTGCATTGTACTTACATGCTTATGGGGAAGATAGAAAATAATAAGTAAACAAATTGTTGTTAGCAGTTGTCAAGTCAGCCCTGACTCATGGTGCCATCATGCACAATGGAACAAAACACTACCCAGTCCTGCACCATCCCCATGATCAGGTGGGGGGACCAGACTGTCGTGATCTATAGGATTTTCATTGGCTGATTTTTAGAAGTAGATCACCAGGCCTTTCTTCTTCCTCCATTTTAGCCTAGAAGCTCTGCTGAAACCTGTTCAGCATCATAGCAACAGACAGGTAGTGGCTGTGCATGAGGTGCATTGGTTGGGAATTGAATCCAGGTCTCCTGCATGGAAGGTGAGAATTCTACCACTGAAGAACCAATGTCCTTCACACAAAATGATAAACGAGATGATTTCAGCTGGTTGTAAATATCATAAAGTAAATAAAATAGATGGATATGTAGCATACAACTAGACATGGGGACTGGGTGCCAGGATTGGTCAGGAAGGAGCTCACCAAGGACAGGACATTTAAATACAGACCAGTCAAAGAAGGGACATTTAAACAAGGACCACGAGGAAGATCTCTCAACACTCGGTACTTACGGAGCAGTCACTAGATCTTAATAAAGGGTTTCAGGTCTCAGGGCAAATCTACTCGCTTCTTAATTGATGGCCAGACTTCATAAGGACTGAAATGAGTAACAGTGAGGAAGGGCAGTGCAGTTACTGGAGACAGAAGCAATATTGTGAGTTAGGTCTTTGGTGGATAGTTCATACTGTCAAGGCTCACCAGTAGTGTAACCACTCCGTAGTTCAAGGAGAAAGCAGTGCGAAGCTGCCAGGACAGCCGAAGACTCGCTGCTCCGTGTGGAGCATTGATCCGGAGCGTTGATCCTGGTGGACCCGCAGCCGTGTGAACCGGCTGGCCGCACGCTCCCACAGTGGAAAACTGTTTACTCTTAGTCACCAGGAGGACACAGAGTTAGACACAGTTAAATCTATAATCATTATCAGCCAGACCAACCCGTTCTAACTGACTTGCTTTCGTCATTCCCTCCGAAGAGCAATGCCCTGTGAATGTTTTGCCTTTAGAAGAAAAAGATTTTTTATTTAAATGGATCATTTCATGGACAAAAGAAGCTTTGTTTATTTCATATGTCTACTCCCATTTTATTCTTATTGCTCAATAAGATTGAATACTTTTTATTTGATGCAGCCGCTGTGTAATTCAGACAAAAATTGCTGAAAAGAAGTTTATTCTAAACATGTTATAACCCGGGGTCACGCAGTTGCTGGAAACATGTATTGTTAGTGTCTTCAGAGCTGAACTTAACACAGGTCCTAAAACTATGACTTTTTCTACAAATCTTATCAATGCTTAGGACACACCTTAACATAATACAGAAATGCAAGACATGACTTCTTTGTTTAAGGCACTTTCAGCTTAGTTAAAGAAAAGGCTAAAAGACACAGTAGTGGGTAGCAATACAGACAGTACAAAATTAAGTTATACTATGAGATACAGACTAGAAGGATTTTAGGGGTTAAGTAGACCAGCAGAGGAGACTGGAGTCAGCAAGTAGTGGTTGTTGGAAGAAGTAGGACTTCAAGAATGGGGGGGATTTGGAGAAGAGGGGAACACTCCCAGAGCTAGTCATGGATGGGAGTATCTTCAGGAGACAGGGTGGGGTTATGAGCGAATTCAGCTGTGGTTCATTTGGGGAACTGTTGGGAAATGGTCAGATTGAAATTGCATCATGCCTGTAATGGGTACACCAAGTTTTATCAACTACAGATGCCTAACTGAAGACTTCTGTAAGACTTTGACTCTATATTGATTTTTCTAGTCTTCTCAGGACCTAGGCAAATGGTTGGTGATTAGTAAATATTTGTTGTATTACTTGAATAGAGTATCTTGATGGTTCATAGAGCGTGGGGGTGAGTTTGAATATAAAGACTGCCAGAAAGCCTCCTTCCTCAGCACAAAGTTGTCTCATGGTCATTGAGACTGACTGACACCACAAACAGAGAAGCATTTTCAGACTGGCTGATCCTGTACACCCCCTCATTAGAGAAAGAATTTATTTATATGCTGTTGATTTTTTGTGGTTTTCTCGGAGAAGATAAGCAAGTCTTCCAAGCCACTTTAATATCCTAGCAAAACTAAAGGTTTATCATTGTCCTTTAAGCTTTTATAGTTATATTTTTACAGTTTTGAAAACTGTAATCTTATGCTATCAGTTATATCCTGATGTTTTTTCCTCATGTTCACTAAATTCAGTTTGCCTTCAGTTATGAATTAACTCTTAACCAGGAAATATTTGTACTCTATGAATGCATACTTTTGAAGACAATAGGCTCCTTTTTCTCCTATAGTTTGAGTCATTTAAGACTTGAGTGCCTTCAATAATTCTAAAACCCATTGCCATTGAGTCAATTCTAACTCAGAGACCCAGCAGGACAGAGTAGAACTGCCCTGTAGGGCTTCCAAGGAGCAGCTGGTGGATTTGAACTGCTTACTTTTTGGTTAGCAGCCCGCTTTTTAACTACTGCGCCACCAGGGCACCCATAAATCTTGTTTATCTGGATCTTAAAGAGAGAATTAGCATGACCCAGCCTCTTGGGTTAACACTCCAACTGAAGAAAAAGAGTAAAATTTCAGCCTACAATGAGTGTGACTAGGACCTCCAGTGGCCAAATGTGGCCGTGCCTCCCAGTCCAGGGCTAGGCTCTTAATAGGGGTCACATCTCTTCAATTCAAAATTAACTGGGGCAACTATGAGAGTTCTTGCAGCTGCCCCACTCTTCAACTACCAGACCCCTGATGTTAGCAAATGTTGCCATTGAACTGTGGGACCTACAAAGAGATTCTATTTTGTGGTTGTGGAGACAGATTTCTCAAAGTAACTTAGAGCTATCAGAAGGAACATCTAGAAGGCCCTTAAGGACATTCTAGGACCTTCCCAAAGTCTCTTATCCCGATTTTGATTGGGGTGCCCCTGACATCTCTGCAGCGAATAATGAGATCTACAGAAATAGTTGTACACTGTGTCTTGTAAATTGTACCAGCCCAGTGTATTAGCATACTTTTGGACTCAGAGTGGTAAAAGGGCAAAGGAAATATGAGAGCAACTTTGTTCTTCTTAAAAATAAAAGCATTATTCATCACGATATATGTCAACATAGTAATAAAGAGTGCAAGCCTTGTCTTATTATTTTAACTCTTTTGTGTAGATTTCAGTTTCTCATCTGTAAAACGGAGATAAAAATAATAATACCTGTGCTTTAGGATTGTTATTAGATTTTGGTAACAAATGTTGAGCTTTTGTAATGATGCCTGGCACATACATTATCATTCCATAAATAGTAGCAACTACAATAATGATGATGGTGATGATTCCTTCATTTCTTCTGCTTCCTTTTCTCCCCATCTTTCAGTATCCACACACATGAATTGCCAAGTAAACATGGATAAACCATTAATCTGGCCTTAGAGAGAATACATTTTTAGCAGAGAACCTGACTTTCAATATGATATTTCCAGGCAGCTCGATGAGGGACAGGAATGCAGTGGGAGTTTCATCATCCCTTTTAGAGCCCATTGCATCTGCCAGGAAGTGAATTCTTTAATTATAACTTGCACCATTGGTCGGTGATTTTGAAAAAGATCCTGAAATCAAATGCACCCGTATTTTATCCTGTGAATTTTAGATTGTGAACAGCAGGAGACGGGAACCAAGTGAAATGTGGGACTTTCCAGAATGTAGACTAACTGGCATGCTTTCCCTCTCTTCCTCTTTTTCACAGGTTAACCTCAGAGCCACAGACGTCAGGCTTATGCGCCAGTTGCTCGTTATCAACGAGAGCATTGAGTCCATCAAGTGGATGATTGAAGAGAAGGCCACCATCACCAGCCGAGGCAGCAGTCTAAGCGGCAGCCTGTGCAGTTTATTGGAGAGTCAGAGCACCTCCTTACATGGCAGCTACAACAGCCTACATGATGGCAGTGATGGGCTGGATGGCATCTCCGTGGGGAGCTATCTGGACACTTTGGCAGATGATGTCCCAGGCCATCAGACCCCTTCAGACTTGGACCAATTCAGTGACAGCTCCATAATAGAGGGCTCACAGGCACTGCACAAGCATCCCAAATTAGATTCTGAGTACTACTGCTTTGGCTAATGACCCAGTTTTTTGCATGGGACTGGTGTGCAATTACCTTGTATTTATCCTTCTTTTCAGCTGCTATTATTTTTGGTGTGTTTTTTTTTTTTTAAAAAAAGCAACCTTTTTAAAAGAAGCTTATTTTGAAACTGCTTAATGGTATTTCTGTTGCTCCTAATCTTTCTCGTCTGGACTGATTTATTTTTCTCTCTTGCCTCTCTATTTTTATTTATTACAATGATTTTTCTCCCTTCTTTTACAGTGGCACAAGTAAAGTAGGGAGAAAGGAATAAGCAATAATTATGTTTTTGCTTTTGTTTTCAGAGCAAGGGGTCAGGGATTACATGAAAAACTTTGATAAATTTTACAATAAACCAAAGTCTGATAACACTTAATTTTGTAGCTTGCTTTTTTTTTAAAGAACACAACATCATCCTGTCTCCTATAAGGAAAGCTTACTCTTGGGCGGTGTTTCTTGGCATGACTGTGCTAAGGAGCCCTTACTCCTTCTTGTAAACCAAACCAGTTGCCGTCAATTTGAGTTGTGTGTCAGGGTAGAACTGTGTTCCATAGGGTTTGCAATGGCTGTAGCCTGTGTTCTTAAATAATTCTAGGTATCATCTTCCCGAAGATATTGAGGGTTACTGCTGTGTGTATATTTGTTTGAACAAAATGCTTGGGATAAAATTAGACATTATTTCTAGGCCACAGTTTCCTTGTGTATAATCAACGCCACTGTTAGTCACACACTTCTACACAGAAGCCATTTGGAGGCCCCCAAGTACAATTCAGTCTGTTCAACTCAACCCTGAGATTATACTGTAGATTAGCATTTTGGTAACAGTGACTCCATCTCAAACCACAGAGGTAGTTGTGTGATAATACACAATATGGTTCTCCCAAATTTCATAGAATAATTGAGATGAGATTTTAAGGTGGTTAGAAGCAAAGATGTTCTAAATTTAATTGTATTTAGAGATTTTATTAATCATTATTCATATGCATTTTTCTGATAGGATATACAAACACATACATATGAATGGATAGAAAGACAGATGATAGATAGATAATAGATATCCTTATAAACAGTGCAGAAGTAGAATTGTTATTTGTTTATAAAGTTCAATTGGACATTTTTCATCCCGGGGTGGGTAAATAATCTCTTTACTGAAATGGCACCTAAAAATATTATAATTCATGTAGTGAATGAGCAAAAGTTTTGATATGATATTATTAATCCTCTACATTTCTTTTTCTTTGATGATTCCTTATGAGGGAATCTAATTAAGTTTTTAAATTGTTCTTTGCAATGATATATGTTTCTGCACTAAACATTTAAAATATGAATCAAAAAAGTGTTCCTATTTATAACTGAGAAATGTCTATACTCAAAAAATGGTTTCAAAATTTCCTTTGTTATTATGTACGTATTATACATTTGTCAAATTTATTATTTGTTTCTAGGACATACATAATTCAGTTGTCAACTAAAATTTACCAGGGCCTATATTTTGCACTGGAATCCCTGGGTGGTACAAACAGTTAACACACTCAGCTGATAACCAAAACGCTAGAGGTTCGAGTCCACCCAGAGGCACTTCTGAAGAAAGCCCTGGTGATCTACTTCCAAAAAATTAGCCATTGAAAACCCTATGGAGCACAGTTCTATTCTTACATACTTGGGGTCACCATAAGTCAGAATTGATGGCAACCAGTATATTTTGCTGTAATTATTTTCCATAAATTGATGACTTATACTCATCACAACAATCTTACGATGTTGCTATTTGATGGTTGAGGAAACAGAGGCTCATAGAAGGTAGTTAACTGGGTCAAATCTCCCAGTAAGTGTCAAAACTGGGATTCACACTTTGATCTGCCTGATTCATAACAATAATACTCAATAGTTCCTTTGGTACCCATCGAAGCTGAATAATAAAATGGGAATAAAAACACAAATTTCTGCTTATGACAAAAAAACACCCAAAATGTAACCAATCTTTTTCTCTCCAGTCTATGGCACCTGTGTCTTTCAGTGTTGAGGTTACCAAGCCCTTTCTTGAGACCACATGTCCAGAGTCAGCTTCCTGCCTACAGCTCAAGCCCGGAGTTGGCTATACAATGTTCCTAATGTATTTCCCCTTTTCTGTTTACTTTTACGTTCAATTTAGTAGAGACTGGTTAGTCGGTTATTTCATTTGGGTTTAATCTGGAATTAAGCCAACCAAATTTTAGTGCAGATTGTTTACCAGATTAAAACCCAATAGCGTGCATTATGATATAGTAGAGAAAACATCCTTAGAACCAAGACTGATGAATTTCAAACAGGGTAATGAAATATGTAAGCAAATGTCTACAACGTTGCAAGAAGAATGTTTCCAACCAAAGGGGCAGTGGAAAGACAGCAAGAATACAGGAGGCATCAGAAGCAAATTCTAATACTTTCAAAGCCCAACATTTGCCTAGAAGAAGCCATGCACAAGAAAGACTATTTCTTCTCTCAGTGAACTTTCAGATTGTGAGTTAAATCTGGTAAATTGGTTTTATACCTTCCTTTTCCAACCAGCCACCCCTACTTTTTGCCAATTCCATGCCGTCTATAAATTTCCACTCTGAATTCATGTGTGGAAAGGAAACAAAATAGTATAAGAGTATAATATGGGAGAAGTGTGTGGAGTAGTTTTCGTTTATACTCTGCATTTTAAGGAAGCTGTAATGAACATTGGCAGAATACTTGAAGATATTTTTATTGGCTTTAGGAGTTTCAATTCTTTATATGTTTCACATTTATTCTAACATTTTTTGCAAAATATAGCAAATATAGGGTCTATGACTTAGATATATGGAGTCCCATATAAACCAACACTGTTTTAATAGCTGATTTTACTAAGTGGAGGGGAATATACAGTTAAACAACACTAATTACTAACATATTCATTGGTCTCAAGAGAATGAATTCATACAACCACCTTGCTTTCAGCTAATGAACCCCATAACTAATCTCTGACCTGGAACATTTGATATCTGATCTCTCTCTGCACCATGAGGAAATGGGGTAAAAAGTTAAAGCAAAAACATCTTTCAAACTATTCTGCCTGAGCTGAGTTGTGTTTTCCCAGAGAAAATGGAATTTTCTTCAGTTACATTATCTCTCCATTTTTATGGACTTGTCTGTTTCCTAATGGGAGGAAAAAATTGGAGGTAAGGGATTTAGACAAGTCAAAACTAGTGCATTTGCAAGGTTTGCAAATACAGAAACTAGAAGTCTTAATTTAACTTCAAGGAACCCCAATATTTATACTAGCAGTCAGCCCCAAAACGCAAAACATAAAATTTTAAGTATTTGTCAGCGTTTAGACATGCAACAGGGATTCCTTGTTTTTGAGTGGATTATAAAGGCACTTGGCGCCACACAAATAACCTCAATCAGTCATTTGTATCTCCAGTTCCATCACAACAACCACCTCCATGATGTTAATGGGTTATTTGGTGGATTTTATCTTGACAGCTCAGCAGACACATTTGCTGTCTCCTTCTGGAAACAGTGTCTTCACTTGGCTTCTGGGACACCACTTTCTTAGATGCCCTTATTCCCCACTGCCTGCTTATTTTCAGACTCTGTTGCTGGTTTCTTCTTATAGTCCTAGTTTCCAAACATAAAAGTTGCCTTGGGCTTAGATCTGACACCACTTCTCTTCTAAAACAGCCCTTGGAGGTTCCATTCCGTTTCATATCTTGAAAAGCCATCTGTGTCCTGATGACACCTAAAGGTGTGTCTCTAGCCCAGGCCTCTCCCTGGCCTTCTCCCATGGCCATCTGCACCCACAGCATGTCCACTGAGGTCTGATAAGCATTTCAATCTGAACATATCCAAAATCGAAACCTGGGTCTTATTTTGCAGTTTTCCCCAGTTGAGTAAATGGTGCTTCAACTCTTCAAAATTCAGGCCTAATCTTTGCAGTCATTCTTAATTGCTCTTTTTATCTGACACTTCACATCCACTATGTCATGCAAATCATATGAGCTCCACCTTAGAAATATATCCACTGTTCAAACCCTGTATTGGATTACTGAGTATAATCCAAATGCTACCATGGACCACAAAATCCAGGGTAATTGGCATCCTTCTGCCTGTCTGACCTCATCTTGTAACATTCTCCCCTTCCCTCATTGTACAGCCTTTCTTGCATCTTTGCTATACCTCAAAACTCTCAAAATAGAGGCATGTTCCTCCTACCTCAGAATCTTTGTACTCACAATTCCTCGTCCTGGAATGTCCTCCCAAATATTCATAAATCTGTATTTCCCTGTTCTTTTTGGTCTCCCATCAAATGGCGCCTTATCTGAGAAGCTTCTTACATTGTACTCCAGAAACGCTCTATCCTCCTTACCCTGGTATATTTTTCTTCATAGTTCTTACCATCATCCAGTACTTGTTTTCTGTGTGTACTCTCTGCTTTCCCACACAAAAATGTAAGGTCTATGAGAACAAGAACTGTGCTGTGTTCACGGGCATATCTTCCAAAATCTTGAACAGTGTCACGTAGTAGTAGCAAATAGATGCTATTTCCATTCTAGGTAAATCTCTCTTATTCTCATTGATTTTTATAGAGGAATTCTTAAGATCAAAGCGTAAAGTTTTTATGTAATATCTAAATTCAATCAAAAGTACTTAATGCTTGCCCCCTTCTCCCTTCTGTTGCCTTCTGTTGAAGGGGCTTTAACAGTCTTCTGATGCACTCTGCCACATGATCTTTGAATCTCCTACCCCATATCCCTGATCAGTGATGTCTACTTGAAAATCTCCAAGGATAGAGAGTTCACTTCTTTCTTCGGACACATGCAGGCAGTGTTTATTGTCAGGCCATGGGAATTGTTTAAACAAGTGGTTGTTCTTTGCCGGGGTGAGTCTATCAGGAAGAGGCAGCATGCAACTGATGTGATGATGATCAATATGGCTTTTGAATTTTCCTTTTCCCTTCTGTGGAACTCTCTTCTCCAGTGAGGCTTCTCCCCTGACATACCCTTCTGCATACACACACTTATACCCAACTTGTAGCTTCTACGGGCCCAAATGACTCTACACATTTAACGTGCCATGCTGGTCAATACCAGGACTCTCAATGGATTCTAACTTCCTATGTCTAAAGTCTAACTTTACCAAAAATATATACTTAACCCTTTAATTAACTGAAGCAGCGAAAAATCAGTGACTCATGCCATTTTGAACCACTTAAACTCAGTTCAAGGGACTTTCATTAATAGGATAAGAATAGAAGGGATTCCTCTTCTATACGCAGGGATTTGATTACAGTCTTTGGAGTATGCTCTAGAAAGTGATTTTTGGCTTCCTCGTCTGACCATGCAATATGCAGTCTCTGGTTTTCAGGCAA